GGTAATCTGGCTTTGATCCCAAGAGTTCCACCTTCGTGAGCAGTTATTCATGAGGAACTCTATCGAGGTCTTTGCTGAAGTCTATGAAGTCGACCCCAGCAAGAAGTTTTGGTGGGCAGCGGAAGGTTCCCTGGAAGCCATGTTGTGCTCTGAGCAAGTTGTTGTTTCCTAAATATGCCATGATAGCTTTTTTGGTGATTCTTTTTAGTACCTTGATTAAGGTACTGGTGAAAGTAATGTACCTGTGGTTTTGAGGGTATTGCCCAAGTCATCTTTCATGGATGCGGGTTACTACGACGTATATCCAGTCACGCGGTAACACTCCATTACGAAGAGATGGCTTGAACATCGTAGTCAGTGTGCCGGCCATGTGTTATCTGAATGCTGCTTGAGAAGCCTTGGGGGAATGAAAATGGTAATAATCGTAGTAATATTATATTACTACTGCTCCTTTGCGTTCTGAGTGGAGCACAAGGCTTCAACAACACATCTCCACTTTGTTCTGTTTTCCTCCATCCTCTTCAGCTGGGTCCACGATTGGTCAAACTCTTTTATCTCTTCCTCACACGATCTCATCCATGTCATCTGTGGAGAAACACCCAACTCGTTCTTCTCCATTCAAGTTCCACTCGATGGATGTCATTTGGTGGCCTCCTCAATGTATGTCCAATCCATTTCCACTTTCTCCTACATATTTGTTGAGCAATCGGCTCTTCGTTGGTTTATTCTCACAGTTTCTTGCTACTTATTCCTTTTAGACGGCCATTTAATCTTCATAAAGGGGAAAGCGAAAGCAGCTGTTGATGAAAGTCTGCAACCTGTTGGAAATCCTTTTCTCGGCACGCTTGTCAAATTTTCGACCCGAATAGAAGAACCAACTTCACATTGTTGTTGAAAATCCGAATCTTGTTCTTTATGCTACGGAGTGCAGGAGATTTCCTAACTGATTTCAGACAGATGAAGGCCTGACCATCACAAAACCTGATATCTGCATTGATTCCAAAGTATGTGGTCTAATAATCAAGTACACTTGACACCACAAACATGCATAAGATCACATCGGTCATGTGTTGTTCACATACTGGAATTTCATAAATGCCTGCAGCTTTAAGAAATATCATGGTACATGTTCCGAATCGGATTGACTTCACTTTCACAAGACTGACACCCATCAGATGACTTGATGTAAATATGTTTCATCTTCCATCTGGTGAACAGTTTCAATGGAATGATGTTCACAGTGATGCTGTCAATCGGAGCCTAGTATATAATTCGCGCTGTACGTTGAAACGCGTTTATGCATAACACAAGGCACTTCCATTTTGATTGAATTATGCTGTCTGATGTGGGATAAGCGATGTGGATCAGAATGAGAGAGTAGAATATTTGATTCAAACAACTGAGTTCCAATTTCCACTGATCTCACGGATAGATTCCACACATTATCTGAAGATCTAACGCTTCATTTGTTTCTCTTATCTGATCAAGATGGAAATTGGATATTTCTACCAGAATTGTTGTTTAGAATGGAGCTGTTATTTTCATCATTGTTACAATTAAATTATTTCTAAAGTAATATTATGAGAAATAGTAATAATTATACATAAGAATTGTAACGCGTGATGCTGACCTCAAATAACACAAATATTTCTTCATTCTGTAAACAATCACGCGTTACCAAAATCACCTCATTTGTAGGGTGTTCATAATCTTTACTAAGCACTATTCAACTAACACACTTGTACTAAGCATTATATATCACTATGTGGTGTGTATCAGTAACACAAATAATTCTTCTTTCTATAAACAATCATGCGTCTGCACACTATTCTATAATCAATATTCAGTTAGCACACTCGTTGCTGATGAAATGCACCTGTCTCATTCATTCTATCACTTTTAGAAATGAACTGATGTGATTAGTTTTAAGAGAATTCTAGGTTCCGCTTTCTGGTATGTACATTAAAGCACATATGGGTGTTTTGTTTCAGTGTTGGACGACAAGTTATGTATTTTTATCATTCCCTTGCGTTTCGAGTGGAGCTTCGGACTTCAACTACATATCTCCGCTTCGTTCTGTTTTCTGCCCTCCACTTCAGCTGTGTCAAGGATTGACCAAACTCTCTCATCTCTTCCTCACAAGATATCCTTCATGTCACTCCTGCACAGACGACCCACTCGTCAATTCCCATTCGGATTCCACTAGAGCAACGGCCTGGCGTGCGGTGTCATTCGGTGGCCACTTCAGTGCATGCCCGACCCACCTCTGTTTACTCCTACATTCTTCGTTGACTTGTTCTCAGCCAGAGTTTCTTGTGGCATCCAAGGTGCATTTACAATACAGCATATGATTTCCAGGCTCATAGGAATCCATGTTGTGCCTGACGTGCACTGACACACCAAAATTAATCCACTTTCTCCTGAAATACAAATATTGTTCATTGGAAAACTCAGCTGGCGAAGTCACTTACGATAGACTATTGCAGAGGGACATCAAAAGTGTTATGAATAACCTTCAAGAACCCAACGCATCACTCACAATACTTGTTGAGTAGTTGACTTCAATATCGAATGATTTGATTCACATGTCCTTATTTACATCCACCTGCACTGATGAAAGACGGAGTTCACTGGTGACAGAATTTCGGGAGTTTCAAATGTTCGACTAGTGAAATATCCTAAATGCGTCAAAGTGACTTCAAGAGTGTCAATAACTCTACTGTGAAATGCACCCTCAACAGCATCAAGCTGCTGACTATATGTGGCCAGAATGCATCCTCGCTAATCTTCATAAATTCTCACTGTGTATTGCAGTTAGGAGGTGTTTGTGGAAGCAAATATGTCGGTCGTGCTGGGTGGTGATTGATCAGTGAAACACATGAGGCTTATGCTATGTGACGTAAAAAGAGTCAAATGAGTCAAACGAATCATATAAACTGTCTGATTAACTGTGTGGATGATAACCGCTTGATGATTGGAGGCCAAAAAAACTGAATCAAATTTGTGCAGTATTGCGTCTGGGGAGAATTTTCATTGAAACAATGTGCTAATCGCAGGATGCATTCTGAAATCATCTGATTATTGCACGAGGTTTGAGTGACACAGCGTCATCCATTGTCACTGCTTCCTTGCACCAACTCTTCACATCCACAACCACTGCATTCACGAGTGGTGACTGATTTCTATGTAAGCATTAGACAACAGGAATAAACAGGGCGAAATTCAGAGGACGCCTTGCAGTGAGTTGTTCAGATAGGCATTTGACCGAAAGTATTGTCATCAATCAGAATGCATGAGAGTATGATGGCACTTTGATTCCTTGGGAGACGATGTACAACTAATGGAATATCCTCCTGTTTTTGGAAGTATGAGATTTATTGTCTGAACATTTTTACGAAAACGTAAACATACTGAAATCCATCGTGAATTTTCATTCTGATGAGAGAATAAGACGAAGAGAAAGTGTGTCATCTACACCAACCTGAACGGAAACACTAACGCTAAACACTGAAACGGAAATGTAGAAATTGACTGAATTTCTCAGTGGATGGTAACTCAGGTGATGCTATCAACGATGACTCTCCAAATGTCATCATCAACATTTCACCAATTATTAACGTCTGTCTAACCAATATTACGTAAACTGAAATTCTCAACTCAGCGTGTTTCTTCGCCTGAAAGTATTTACGAGTGTCAAATAGGAGTTCGAATAGGGAGAAAAAGCCTCCGATTATGAACCCCTTCTGTTCGACACGAAATGCTTCGTTGACAAATGTTCCTCGAAAGGTTTCGCAACCGTTTTTTACTCCAAATGGCATTCTGTTTGAAAGTTCGTCCACCTATTCTTCCGTCTACACATTACATCTAATTTGTCGTGTTTCATTATTAATTATCAGATTTTGACGTCACATTGTACCACATATTCCCAACAGTTCATAAAATGTTTACAACCAAGTGACTTTTGAGGCTCTAAGATAGCTAAGAAAAGTCATCATCGTGGATGGCAGTGTGCTTGACAATGGACACTCGTATATCGAACTACTGTTCTTGGTATCGTAAGTACAAACTGCCGTTCTCTTCCTAACAAGATTATGCATCAGCAATCTCTCCTATCATCTGATGATCATACAACACGGCTATAATCAAACCACAAGAAACATCGCTTCATTAGCTCTTCTCACTAAAAGGTTTCACATTATTCAGACAGACTCGACTTCGTACCATAAAGGGACGTGGCAGTGGAGATGCAGCTTTTACTCATTCCCAGTAGTCATTTTCAAACGATCTCGAGTGCCTTTATTGCTTGTATTACACTCACGTGCGTCGCAAACACTTATCAAAGTGTTAATACATTTTCATCTCGGTCGTTTACGTTATGCCTGAGCAGGCGAAACTTGTCACCGGCCAAGTTCCAAAGAAAACCCTATTCATGAACTTTGAATTCAAAGGTGATCAAGCTTCAGATATGCTCAAAAACCGTCTTTTTCAAGCAGTCAGTAAAACGTTCTTTGCAGAAAAATTACAAACGACGTTCACCAGCTGCTAGTTGTTCTCCATCTCTGTAAAGGATAAGATTCCTCGTCTGGCCACTTGCATGATCATCTATCGGTTCACCTGCTCATGTGGAGCAAGGTATATTGTCAGTAGCCTGAAGACGCTTTCCCCACAGATACGAGAACTTCTTCCAGCAGCATGGTTTCCCAAGGGGGATAGGAAGAGTGTGAGGAGCTCTATTCTAGAACACATGATCGACACCTATCACTCTGCCAGTCCTGACCATGATTTTACGATCGTCTACCTAAACCACACTAACTTGCTTCATTTTCGTCGTTACTGACTTCTTAGGAGAGTGTAGGCCTTGGCAATTCATGAATCTAAACTAGACCTTCTAGGTATTTGAACTAGTCAGCTTTACTCCCTGGTTTCGCTTTCTGAGTGAGTTGAAAACACTCTTCGTAATTCGTGACTGACTTAAACAGCGATATTGTGGTGAGAACTGGCTGCTAGCCAAAGTTGGTAGACAGGAATTGACGTCAATGATTCTTCACTACAACCAAAATCATCGTCATCGTGGCTGAATCACACAACTCATCCATCAGTTTCGTCAAGTGAATTTCAGAGATAATGTGACCTGCATGTATCGTGTTTACTCATTCATATCATTGATATTATGAAAACGCAAGTGTACACAGTGTGAGTGTAGATATCTTTAAAAAGTAACTGACCTTGTCAGTTGTGTTCATAATCAATGATCACCATCACACACATAAAAATAAAGCGATGAAACAATTTACACAGGGCGGAATTGTTTTTGTGATTCAAGGTCATTTTCTTGCACTGTTTGTTTAATGAAAATTTGTCAGTATTACTAATTATTTGTATTTTATTAGTGATTTCATGGAATGAGAGTTTTTCAGCCAGAATATTGTCTCGAATACAAAAGAGCAGTGAGAACTGCAGGCGATTCAGTTGGGCGAATTTCCTGCACCAACACACTGATTCAGTTCACATATTGCACATGAGACGACTGACTTCACTCACAATTCAACTGAATCCTTTGTACCTCACATTTGGTCTGCCTGAAGGCATTTCTTCACTGTTCTTTGTGTACATTTCACTTCGAATTTGCAAGATCAGTGTGTGTTCGAAATAGCGCTAGAAAGCTTTATTCGAGATCTTCACAAACCCACTTATTGATTCAACGTGGAATTTCAAGGGATATGATTGCACACGAGTGAAAATGATCCTTGCCTCAAAATGATCAATGCGGTTTTTGCATAATACGAGAGAATATAGCAGCTACTCTAGATTAAGTTTGCAAGTAATCCTAGTGAATCCATCAGCTCTGGTGTGAATTAAAGCAATTCTACCCAAACAAATCATTATGGTGAGCATCAAGATAGCTGTTTTTACTGAGAAGACTTCTTCATCTACCATGATTTATATCAACCCTCCAGACATTCTATCAGGGTATTATATGAAATATTTGTAGTTAACGGGAATAGCAATGATGTAGTTGTGTATACCATTCAGCTGAATGATGTCCTTTCGAAACTCTCATTGGTCTGTCAGGCAGCTAATCCATACCACACTTTGAGATTTCTGCACTAGTTCATCAGTCTGCGCTCCAGGCGACTGTGAATGTCATGATTTTCTTGCTTTTCTCCATTTTCACACCCTCTATTCTACGTATTGATGTCACACACAAACTGAAAAGATCACTCCAGTCGGCTGGTTTTAAGTCAAGTGAAAGACTTAACAGTGAAAGACAAAACCAACATCATCGACAAATAATGTTGCCACGACTGAGATAAACACCACATTAGCCAAAGTGGACGTCCTGTCTGGCCGAACATCTACAAGCAAAATCTTGGAAGATGCGATGATATCCACCATCACATATCGCTGCATTCAGACAACCACGGACATTATTTCGACTGGGACAATCGACGCTCAGATATTCGGCGAAAGAAACGCTAAGTACTCCAGAGAATTTGTAGCGATCTTGGATTCAAGTGAATCGGTAAATAACAGGCACATGGACATAGATAGATCTCACCAGTCAGTTAGAGGAAAATCTCATGCACAAAAAGTAAAACTCGAGGTCAACGAAACAGCCAATATGAATACCATTAGACTAGAGGGTGTGAACACAGAGAAGAGCAACCAATCACGACATTCGCAGCCGACATGACGCGCGACTGATAAACTCGTGGAGAAATTTCAAAGCCCACTTCGACAAATTGAAGTGTGCGCTGAAAATGTGGCCGAGTAAGGCTGTGAAGCACTCACAAGTACACCATGCAGCATAGACAACTCAAATGCATCGAAAACATTCTACGACGGAACTGCATCTTCACGGAATATTACAGCGTCCATATAAGCTCTTTCGGTGAAAACAACTCAATTCATATTCGGCTGAATTAGACTAAGACGAAGAAATGTGAAACAAACACTGTGTCCTTGAAGACTTCACCTGCTTTTCTAAAACGGAGGAAACGACCTAACTGAATGCAGGAAGCCATGCAATGATTCACTCACAAGAAGAAAATGATGACATTTTGTGTATTACTACAATGAAATAATATTTCCAAATGATACTCAAGTGTCACAAACTTCATGTGTTCGCCACTGCATGAATTCGTCTTACTATTGGGATTAAAGTATTTCTGCAGATTGACGGATTTCATCGCACCAATCAGATTCCGCCGATTCATTATGTGAGTCACGTGACATCATGATATGTTGTTTAACTCACCAATCAGAACACTCACCTACACTGTTCCACAAATGAACGATGAAATTATGATTATTGTAATCAACCAATGATCAGATTACAACGATACCTGTGACTGCTTGTTGTGGTATAAATACAGGAACGGAAAGTCAGTTACCATAAGAAGATGGTCTACTTCACATACAGCCAAGTAGCTTTCGTCACTCTGTTGGCATTCGCAGCCATACATTCAGGTAAGCATTTTCTCAAAAGATGGTATATTTGTGGCTTAATCTTTACGAAATGTCTGACTTATTCACTGGCACCGGTCGCTCTAACAGTTCATTCTTTCTGGTGAGGCTTTCACTTCGGAATGATTACTTTCGCATATGATTTCATCACGAATTCATCTTGCTTGATAGATGGTGACCGGAAGTGCAATAGTACTCGTTGTGGCGTTTCTCCTCTTAATTCTGCCTCAGAGACTATGTATATTAACAGTTGTACAGTGACATGCTTTCTCATTACGACAGTGTTTTCGGCTAAAAATTCGTAAGACTGCCCGAATACACATTTTGAGATGATATGTTTCTGCACTGCAACGGCATACATAAAGCCCTCTAAAGGAGATTGATACATTTCAAGTGGAGAAATTGTTCTGATAATCTTCAGTTTTCTGAAACTTCTTCTTGGATAATAATTGTCGTTAACACTTCCTCATTTCATTTCAAGTCGAATCGTTGAATAAAAAAGAAATTACATTTATACTAGACAGAATTAAAGGTAAGAATTAATAACGTTCATATTACATGTGGTTATTAATCTACTTGAGAATTTGTCAAATCATAAATAGGGAATAACGAAAGTCTTACAATGATCGTTGTAGCCATGGTCTTCCTGGACGAATCGAAAATTGTTATAATATCATTAAAGAGAGTGTGGAGAATGATTGGCGTACCTGACTTTCCTTCAGAAGCTATTTCCAATGTGTATTATCCATTTGCACTCAGTCATCTTACGTCACATATAACAATTCATTCTAAATATTCTCGTCTCCTCACAGATAAAATACCCGGAGTCATTTCAGAGCTCAAAGCTGCTGAAGGGAGAGTACAAAATATTACAGGTATATATAACATAAAGCCTGACTGTTGATAATATTTTCACGCTGACGAAAATATGCTTCGAATTATTCTTTCGAAATTATTCCTAATGATGACATCAATCATGTCATCTAGTATGTAGCGTATATCGACATAACTAAAATACACGTCTCCACAAGCTGTAAACTTTCAACGCTTTCGCTTTTCTGTTTCTTAGCCAAGATTCTTAGTCAGAGGGCAAGCTTACGAGGACAATTAGAAAAGTGTAAGCAAACCGTATCTTTTGAAATGATGGACAACCTATTTTAGATACGGACTGCCTGGAAACTGCATACAAATACAAGTGGGGACAACTTACATTTAATGGTGCGTTTTAAGAAACTCCTTCCATTTAAAACATAATTTTATTCGCGAAATTTATTCACTACACACTATGCTTGCATTTGATGAGTCAGAATTCACTTTCGTTATACACTGACAGTTGATGCAATGCTCTCTCACTGGTCATTTCAATAATATACGTCTCTTCGACTGTGGAGTGATGAATCTTTGCAAGGTTATTAACTGAAAAGTGATCAGAGCCGCTAAATGTGCCAACGTCTTTCTATCTTTCTTAGCGATCGCAGACGATATCTACCGCAGTGAGCTAGATATTTTGAATTATTTCTATACTTATCAACCATCATAATTATTTCTCGTCAATATTATGGCTAAAAGTCTTCACCTGGCTTATATTCACGCGTAAACATCTCAACTATCATTATTATTTCATTCATGTATTTTATTTGCTAACGTCAAATGAAGATGGAGAATTTCCTTATGCACCGATAAACATGAGGAAGTGATTGACCATAGATGTTTGACTGTTGTATTTTTCATTTTCGATATTCGTTGACAATCTACCAAGTAGTAAACAAATTTTATTCGCCTCAATTGTGATTGTGTCTGTGTTAACTATGCATAGATGTGTATCCGTATTATACTTAAAACAACAAAAGTGGATTGAAATGCGTGAAACTAATTTATATTTACAGGTGATCAAGGTGCGTTGGATGACACAAGACATTGTTGCCTACAAGAAGCTGCAGCATATCATGGTGAGTAATATTTTACTACTCTAATCGGTTGGTTTTATTTTGTCTGTGCGGAGTAACGATTTCGGAAATTTCAGTCTTCACATAATGAAACAGTTTTCCTACTTATATTCACCCACAAATAGAAAAAATGGAAGCGTTTCCTGTAGACGAATGTCGCAAAATTCTACCTCCAGCGAATCGAGAAGGTATTCTTTTTTTCCTCATTTAAATTCAAGATAAAATGAAAAACATTTTAACGTACACCTACGATGAGGGTATATTTGTACATGTCACAATACCTTCATCATGATTTGAATTCATGAACATCCACCTAGTATTGTACAATATAGTCTATGATGACGATTCTCCAAGGGTCGAAAAATTATGTATGGAGGAGGATGAAAAACTTTAGTGTTGGTCTAGGATGAGGTCAGTCGTCTACAAATGAAATTGTACAGATGGTAAGAACATGAGTAGAAATACACGATAAAAGACAATCTGGTGAACGTGATAATGGATGAGTACAAGTATAATGACCTGATGACTGCAGTTCGGACTTCATGCAGGTGGATGAGTTTATGAAGTAGTCAATTGCTTGAATCTGTGCGTGAAACAGATTGTTTTACGTCATTTCATGTCACGTAATTTTGTGTTCAAAACTCATAATTTGATTTTGAGAAACCCACCCTGGAAGATAACTTATTTCATGAATTATTTCAGATCTGAAGGAACTGAAAGAACAAATCGAAGGAGTATTCTACCATAACTACTTGTTTAGCGCTCAAGTTTGTGAGTTCATTTTCTCCGTATAATTATTAGTCAGTGTCTATCTAATATCAGTTATCATACGAACTCAGTGACAGATAACAATCTTTTTTACTGATCAATTCACCTTTCCCAATATGTTTCATCATTTCTAGTTTACAAGAACTCTTACACAACCCTGTTGAAGTCGTTGACAGGTGAGATATATTTTGCATCAACTTCCACTGTCAATCATACGAAATTGACACGCGAGGATAAGGCCCGTTAATATAGCCCAGGTCAGAATCTCCAAGACACGAATACGCCTGTTCAATCGAGTAATGAAAGCATCATCAGTGGCGTTGTCAGTTACCGTGTGGATATCGTGCAATGAATAATATCGTGGCAGTTCTAAATAGACGGTATCGTGAATGTATGAGAATACACATTCACATTTCATAGGCGTCCCTGAGGATAAGCAAGCAAGCCAGCGAATTCCACACGAGTCATAGTGAATTACTGAAAGAGAGCAACTCATGTATTCAGACAAATAATGAGAACTGAAAGTGTCACTCATTGAAAATATTCAGAATTCTCCAATTGTATGAATAAGCAAACAGTTCACCATTAATCATCCTCCCCTCCAATATACGTGTTTCTTGATTATTTCATTACTAACACTTCTCCCAACATTATTGCTGATTTAATTTACTCTCATACAGGAAAGTGAAGAGGGAAGTACCAGGATGAATGCCAAAGTCAGCGTATTACTGAACACATGTAGAATGTAGAAGTTTTCGTAAATATTTTTTTTTGAATTAAATTAAATAAATCACTCATCTGCTATACCGCTTTCTCTTCATGAATTCAAACTATTATTGCTTTGCTGGTTGTGATCCGGTGTGGTTAATATTCGAATTCGCTATGGAAGATTTTGTGGTGGGCTGTCGTCGTCGGGAATGTGGTAGTTCGAGGCTGTTCATAAGGTGGCTATTAGGATACTGATTCTCTTCTGTAGAATGTTTGTTAGATACTTCTGAGAGGGGACAGCGTTTTCATAGCACAAACTGTACGTTGTGTTATTCACACACTTGGACCCTGTGATAGATACAATTAGATCTCTTGGCAAACCAAAGCTGTAGTTGGCCAATAAGAACTATGTAATAGTCTAGGGCGCGAGCGCCATATTGTTCACGGGATTTCCTGGTCTTGTCTATTTCAGCACTGTGATTATCTCGCTTAAATGCGGCTTTTTCATTATCATTTAATTCATGGCTCAAGAGACTCAACAGAATGAACCTCGTGGATCCATTAGCTTGCGAAATTCCCAGTTGCAATATCCCAACTCATCAGCAATCGCTAACAATTGCTCATCTTCTAGTGATATTCACACTGCACACCAGATATCCAGTTCCTCTGTTAAACTGCATACAGTGACACCCGTTTGTACACTGACTAACAATAATCAACCAATTCAGTATATTGGGTTGGAGGCCAGGACTGTATGCGTCCCTGTTTGTAGTTCTCATTCATTATATCCCCACTCGGTTGTACATCGTGCATCTCCAAATTCAAATGTTGGATATAACTCTGGATCTATGACTCATGCTCATTGCAGCACTTCAAGTGGTCAGCCGGATATGCTGAGCTATGCAGAACTATTTCCATGCAACAAGTGAACAAAGCACGATGAAAAGTATCTTGTGATAGCAGTGGTCCAAGATCAGGACGTACACGACGTGTTTGATTTGAACTACTACTACTTCTACTAGTACTAGTAGTGGTAGTGTTGTTTGAAGAACTAGACAAAGGAGTGACACCATCGAGTCGTTTTTCAATCCTACGAATTTCATCCATCAAAATACGCTCTAAAGCCAGATAGTAAAGTGGATAGCATAGCTGTAAACGTTGTTGTGCAGCAGAAACAGCTAAACTGGTTGCTGTTGACGTCGATGTCACTACTACTACTAGTAGTAGTAGTAGTTGAAGTTTTTAGTCCAGCATAGGCACGTTGAAATTGTACACCTAAGTCTTCAAGCCGTTGACGGATTACAGGAAGGGGGGATGTTGAACAATGCGCTTTAATTAGATCAGCTAAGGCTTCACTTGGCTCTTTATTTCGACCATTTAATAAGATTTGTAATTGATTGAGATTTTGACTTCTCGCCTCCGGATTGCAGAAATTAACACCTCCGTTAAGACGACTGATAGTTCCAGCATTGGCATTACCACGTCGTGTAGTTTCAGTAAAGCCACCAAAACCTGAATTACTCACCTCAAGCATATATCGACGTGCAGATGGTGTTAAGCCTGCAGGTAAATGAAATTCCGATTGTACACAACTTTCTCCAATCGACCCAATCTCTTCAGCTGCATTCGGATTAAGATAAATACGTTCATCGAAATCTCCAGTTCCAATGATGTATTCTTCATAATTATTATTTAAATTTTGAAGTGTTGCTTCAAAATTTTCTGGTTCTAATAAACTTCCAAGAACCGAGGGATGAATTTTTATTAACTCTTTTTCGATTAATCGCGCCATGAACGTTCGGAAAAAGTGCTGTTTCACAGTTTTACACTCAACATAATTAACATCGTTATCCTCACATATTGGACGCAGCATACAGGTCGGTTGATCATGCGGTGGACACCAGGTTTTGTTTTGAGCGACTGCATTTAAAAAATCCCTGGGCAAACCATTTTGTTCCATATTGATTAAATCACGTCTTCTGGAAACCATAGTTGCTCCTAACACCCAGTCTAAACAACACGCCAATAAGTGGTAGGAGTTGACCAAATCATCTGTGACTGCTAGAAAACTCGCTCGAGACTTAATGAATAACAGCCACGTCAATCGGAATAAATCTGAACCCGTAGGATGCATTTGACTAGTTTCATAATCCGTGTCGGAAAATAGGACACCAAATGACCGACCGAAATTGCGGAAAACTACAGACGAAACAGAAAATTGACGCTCCAGTAGTTCGAGACGGTCTCTCATCTCATCCGCCATATCAGTCATGTCAGCCCATTTCCTAACGCGATGAAAGAATTGAACCATGCTCATTTTAGCCGTAGACAGCAAACGTGACAATGAAACGTAGGCGTTTTCAACATTCCCTGACATTCCATCTGCTGTTGAGCGCCGACAGCACTCGTATAATGAGCATACTAGCCACTGGAATTGATCGCCATCAATTGAATAATTTGCCCAGACATCTTTGTACTTTTCCCAGGCTTCTTCTCTAACGTTTCCAGTTTTGCTCTCCATCACTGATAACAAATAGATGCATCTGAATAAAGACACGCCGGATGATATCTAGATATGCTGAAATGTCTGTAGAATGAACATCCATAAATCTGTATGTAACGGGCGATGCCGAATAGTATGGTTGTAAACAGAGGAAACCGTTTATTGCATCCCGCTGTCTGGCTATTCGAAACTTCCTTAAGAGACTCACAGTCACAAAGCTCGACAAAGGCAGCTAGAAGTTTGGTATTAGTTGTAAAATATGCGGGGTTGTATTGAACGTCGATGATAGTAACATGGAAAACTCAAAATTACCTCATCAGTATCGATAGGCAGCTATATGGGCAAAGGAAATTTCAAGCCCAGAACAAGTAGTGTAGGGCTGAATTAGTCAGCCGGAATTTGACCGTGGGGAATACGTGACAATCAAGTTAAATATTCACTATAAGGTGGCGTCAACACTCCTTTCACAAAAATCACACACCAAAGATTCAGGACTACAGACAAAAGTCAAAATCATCATGATTCTCTCAAACTAAATCATAAATTGAACCAACACATTTTCAATGTATCTTACAACCACAAATAGAAGCAGTGAGATTAGAGATCTAACAGGGAGAAAGACAAATAATAGGCATGAAGTGAACACATAATATCCTAGTGTAACTACAATCATGCGTAATCCAGGAGAAGAGAGGATGATAACTACAAAGTTAGTTGAAATATCCAAATAAGGATAATTATTTCAACTAGATTGTTCACGAGAGAACTTCTGAACAACTACTCCGTAAGACTATAGCCTTAAGCATTCGTTACAAATCGAATAGACTGTTGAGAATATAAGAGATTGACAAATCGACCACATTTGAATCGAAACGTGAAGGTTGATAAACGTGTTGGTAAGAAATCACACTATCCTTGAGTGAGTTTCTGAATAGTGATTGCAGGAAACGCCGGAATGGAGTTTGAGGGAAATCGTTAATACTGACATGTGTTCGTCCAGTTTCCAAAATGTATTCCAAGTAAAATATCCTGCACATATTAGACGGTATATTCCTATCCTGTATATCACGTATAAATCAGTGTTGAAGAATCAGTATTTCGAAATTCAGGTGAGCTTATTGAAATTGACAGAAATTTTCGGCATCTGAAAAATCACGCATATCTGACATGAGTGTTTCATCTTTCTTCCCCTGCACATCACATTAGCACAGTATTTAGCAAATTCATTGATGAAGTCATCAACCAATTTGACACCATGTGTAATGCATCTCACATCATGCAGCTATTGTGGAATTATCCACAAAGGACGACGACCTGTGAAGTCTGCTTGTGTAAACGAGACACTGTAGCCTCCAGTGACATCAGTTCTGTCGTGCATACCGCGTCGGGTGAATCAGCAGGATGATATGCAGAACTGATCACCATATTCACTAACTCCCTCATTTGTGCATATCTGTGAGTAACCTAGACAGTTGATATCTGCTTCCTGACTCATTCGCCAATCACTCATTGATTTAACTCATCAACTAGAGTGAATACTTTAAAAAGATACACGACATGCAAAGCTTACCTGAGACAAAGGAGTTATCGGCATTTAGTTGAGCGGATTCTTTATGGTCGTTTCAATTGATTTCACGATGAATCTGTGAAGTTTACTGCATAAAACGATTTTGCATCATTGATTTCATCCATCCCACCTGATATCGTGAACTACATAGATTTTAAATTCAATTTGTAATTCACCATGGGTTATTTCTGATTATAACTGTAAACACTGGAAGTGCTATGCTGAGGATGGCTCAGTGATCTACAAATGACCTGGAATTTTCTTCCCAGTCACGAAATATTCTTGAACATTCACAGAATCGAAACGTTCATATGCCAAATACTCAACTGTGGATAGAATGGCATTTCGGATGTGTCAGTTACACCATGAATCTTAAATGTGCATCCTAATTTATCTTTCATTATACATAGCCAGTTGCACTGATACAATCAGTAGTTGTATATGTCAGTCGTCGGGTATTAACTCCGATTTCGTGAATACATTCATTGAACATTTCATATATGCATACGCTTTTTTGCACCGAATCTCCACTAAAGACTAAACATCAATCAGCGTTGCTTTCAGTTATTCAAACATGTTCGTCAGAGCAATGAAAGCATAGGCAAGCACATCACTGAGGAACATATTAGGCCAAGAATATTAATGGAGTACTTCTTATGATGAAGTGGAACATTGAGAATAGCATCAGGCATTCGATCTCACTCTCACTTATATATCTTCATTCAGTCTTTGTTCTCGTCTCTGTTATACTAGTCGTGAACATGATACCTACAGGGAATGGTGTTAACAGTGAAGATGTAAAGTAGAGTCTAATATGTTTTTCACGATGGATGTTGAAATGCTATTGCGAGTAACACATGTGAAAATATACAAGGCGCTTCAATTTTGATTGAGTTGAGCTGTCTGATGTGCGACAAGTGATGTGGATCAGTGTGAGAGAGTACAAGAATTGATTCAGTCAATTGAGCTTCAGTTTTCACTGATCTCACCGATAGATTCTACACACTATGTGAGGTCCTATCGCTTCCTTCGGTTCTTTCAGCTGATCATGCTGAAATCGGCTATTTCTACAACAATACAGTTAGCAATAGAGCTTTCATTTTCATCATTGCTATAATTAAAATATTTCTGCAGTAGAATAATCAGAAAGAGTGATTAGTATTCATGAGACACATATCGCGTGATGGTGACCTCAAATATCACAAATATTTCTTGATTCTGTAAACAATTACGCATTGCCAAAATCACATCATTTGTAGGGTGTTCATAATCTTTACTAATCTCTATTCAACTGACACACTTGTAGTGATCATTGTATATCATTAGTTGGTGTCAGTGAAATAACATCGATATTTCTTTTTTATGTTAACCATTATGCCTCCACAGAATCTTCTTTAGTCAATATTCAGCTAGCACACTGATTCATGATGAAGCACAGGTGTATCTTTCTTTCTATCACTTTCAGATATGAACTGATCCAATTAGGTGAATGAGAATTCAGGTTCCACTTTCAGCTATGAACATTAAGTTAGACAGAGTGTTGCATTTCAGTGGTAGACGCCAAGTTGAGTGGAGAACAACACGGGTCCTAGAAATCCCAGTATTAGTACATATGGTAAGAGTAATTTCAAAAATACAAATTTGAATAAACTTCCTAATATCAACATGTGTTCCAGGTGGAGCATCAAGATTCAAGAGCCCATCCTTATTTTATACTTATCGCTAAAGTCCTTTCCGAATGACATTAATAATAGTAATAATAATAACAACCGATTTATTCGAGACAACATGGAGTCCACAGCATGTTCTAAAATGCTCCATTTCATTTTTGCTCGTTACATAGCATATCAAAAGTTAGT